GGGGACACAACAGGACCGGCTGCTGGCCAGGGAGAACAGAGGAAGAATCATTGTATGAAGAGAAATCAGAGTGCACTCCTCCTCCTCCTGCAGCAAAAAGGAACGCTGGCAAACTGGATGCTGGCAGTGGCTTGCTGCTCTCAAACCAGCTTGCCGCTGGTTAGGCCAGGACGCACTACTAAAATCTCTGCTGGTGTATGATCTCGTAAAGAATTGGCAAAGTTATCCCCAAAGGCATGAAAGGAGAGTTGTCCAGGTACATGATACAGATTAAAGCCATTCCTGTTCCCAGACATTACCCAAGGGCTTGTCCCTCACACCCTTGAAAAAAACTGCTTAAAGTGGAGGCCTGGAATAAGTCATTTTAAAACCAGGTTTGTTTTGCTTCTGAGGAGCTGCGGTCCTGCATGTGAGCTAAATATTATCTATATTTGTGTCAGGGATGAGCAGAAGACCTTCGGAAAGCAAGGGCAGGAGAGCGAGGGCTTGGCCTTCCACAGCAAATGTTGCAAGGGCAACCTGGACGTGGGAGGCAGGGGGCGAGCAGTCACCTCCAGCCCTGGCTGGCCACCAGATCTCCCCCTGCCTCCAGTTTAAGAACAGCCCAAAGAGAACACGGGTTTGTCTTTGCACATCTCTTCGCCTTCTGACCTGTGAGGGACCACTCCAGCTCTCCCTCTCCACTTCAGCTTTCAGACATGCAGCTGATGCTCCCGCCCTGTAACTTTGCAGAGTGGTTTCTGCAGAGAAATGCTGAGATACTTCAAATAAATGAATACCTGAGGCATTAGCAGCCTCAGATGAGTACTTTACTATTTTAAATAATTCATAAGTTCCATACCTTGAACCAAAGAACAAGGGAGATGTTGCAGCAGAAGATATTTTTATAGGCTGTTGTAAATGATGCAGCAACCTGGCAGAGTACTTAATGGGAGAGGAGGTAGAGAGAAATAAAGGATAGCAATTCTGAAACTATCGCAAAACATTTTAGAAAGAAAAAAATATATATTTGTCAGAGCTGCAGCTTCAGAAGTTGTGTGATACTTGCTCTGATAACTCCTTGTAGCCATCACTAATAGCTACTGAAATGTCCCTGGATGGTCTGCTCCTGGCCAGTCTGTTTACTTGCCAGTGTCCCTCTGAAAATCTTGATTTTCCTTCGTCTCCATTAGGAAAGGAAGCACAGGTCTGGGAATTAGATCCCAGCTGGGGGTTGTTTCCCTGGTCGACCTCCCATACAGTACCTCTGAGCTCAGGGTCTCATTTTCCCTGCCCATACGACTGCTCTTGCATTACAGCCCTCCAACGTCTAGACAAGAGGTAGCTTGCCTGAACACCTTCAGAGCGCTGCCCAGCCCTCAAACTCCCATTGAGGCTGCTGTCTCAGACTGCTGTAACAAAAGCACCCTGGGTTGGGGATCTATTTGGCGTGCTTGTATGGCATTTCTAAGGTAACATCTGAGTGCCCTTTTCTCTTCATTCTCACAGCAGAGCACTGTGCCCCCATCTTACAGAAGGGCAACAGTGGGCCAACTGATACCCCAGGGATCTGACTCTACTTTCATGACATGATGCTAGGCTTGAGCCACTAGCATCTGTAAGATACCAAGAGAACTGGGGCCTGAGGGTGACATCATTAGTGGAGTCCGACACCTCTTTCCCATCTCCCTTCCAATAGTGGGCATTTCAGCCTCATGCTGGACACCAGGAGGGCAGCTGGTGCTGCTGGGAGATAATAACAGGCTGCAGGTTGCCCCTGCCACAGTGAGAGTGGGGTGATTCCTAGCGCTGCTCTCATGGCATCAGATCTGCAGAGTGGGGCGGTGGCGAAGCTCCCTAGGTGAGAATTAGTGGGCTAAGATGGCAAGGATCTCCCAAGGTAGCAAAAAGTCAACTACCTTGAAGAAACAGCAGAGGGAGTCTCACAGGGAGCCTTCCTGTTCCTTCACTACAGGAGCACTGTTGCTCCTTCTTCCTCAACGCCTGTGGTCCTTCGTGATTTCTAAGGCTGGGATGTCCCAATTCTTGCTACTGGAAGCCACCATCATGTAAAGCTCCCACCATGCTCTGACCCCTGCCTGCCATGCTCCAAGGACTCTGTTGACCACCAGCTGGCTGACAGCCCGTGGGCAAGGCTGCGTTAGATCTATGAGAGCCCATAGGGTTTGTGTCTCCTCTACCTAAGAGACTTCCCCTCTCTCCTGGGATGCTGTCGCAGCTGAAAAACATTTTTCAGGCAGAAAGACTCAGCTTTTTAACTTGGTGCCTGCTCAGGTCTGCAAACCCTGTTGGCTACCCACCACACATCCTGTGTTCTTGCTGGCATCTGAGTGAGGGCCAGCTGATGATTTGTGGAGGGATAGAGTGCCTGGAGAAGTGGCTGATACGGGCCGACAAGTGTCATATGTGTTCGGTACAGCATACGGGCCCAAGGTGCAGCGCTGGCACGCTCTTAACAAGAGACTGAAAACATTGTGTTGGATCCCCTGATGAGCCTCTCCTGTTGTATGGAGATCAGAGCAGGGCTGTGCTGAGCAAAATCAGTACTATGTAATCACACATGTATTTCTCAGACAATCGCTCCATGTGCTTCTTTTCAGTGAGTTTTTCCACTAAGGTAAATGAGAAATTGATCCCAATGGTGCTAGAGTACCTGGGAGCTGGGGGCTTGTAACGCTTGCCTCCAACCATCAATAGGCCCCTTGTCCTTACCATCATGACTGCCTGGCCCGATGCGGACTGTAAAAAAAAGCAAGCAATTACATCTGAATGGCTGTTTCATCTCCCAGGAACTGGACTGAGTTGCTGGAAAGAAGCAATGGCTGCAGATATCAAAATACAAACCAGAGGGAGAGCAGCGTGAAACAAACTTCTGCTCCTTAAGGGGATGTGTCAATGAGTGTCTGGGTTTCTGGCTTCTACCCTGGCCTTACACTTTAAACAGCACTGACTCACCTTGCTTTTTTACAGCTAGTCCTTGTGGGCACCTGTCTTACAGTCGCTTCATCAGGACTTCAAAGGAAATATCTAATGCATGGCATCACTATTAACTTCTATGCTGTGGGCTCAGACAAAAGCTTTCCTTTCCCTTCTTCTTTTTGCTTTGCCGTTAGCTTGCCTTTCTCCTGTTTTTTTGGAATAGTCAAAAGACTCGTATTTTGACCCAAAACTACCAAAACACACCAAGAAAAGTTCAATTCCCATCTTTGCAAAGAATGCTAATGATAATATGAATTCCATGTGAAAGTAATTATATAAAAAGCAAGATATTTTAATAACAAAATCACTTATTTTAAGTAAACATACGGGTTTGACCCATTTACAATTAAGGGAAAAATTAACAATATTTGTTTTAATGCCTGAACTCATCTGTCTGTGAAAATTAGATGGATTTGACAAAAAGTAAGAGTAAGCAGGATATGTTCCCTGTCAGTTGTTCAAAGAGAAGCCACTGTATTGGAAGATATCACTCATCTGGCATCTGGAACCAGATCTTGGTGAAGTGTAGAGTCACTTTTTGTCGGGAGCAATTTCACCCAGAGGTGTAAAGGATATTTCCTTCATTCCAAATAATTCAGTCAGCTCAGTTCAGAGACTCATTTGTTCAAATTTTAGAAACTCTTTGAGAGATGAAAAACTCTTTCCACAATGTATTAATAAAAACAAGGCATGAGAGGATAAGACCTACTAATTCTAAAATCTTAACAGGTTTGCTAATGAGAAACAACAGCACAATTTGCTGTATATAGATGGCGTTTACTTCATCTAAGGGAGCTCTACTAAAGTAATAAAAGTTCTGTCTTTGTTTATTTAAAGGCAGTTCCATTTTCCATCTGCAGAGCGTTTAACTAAAACTGCAAACAAATGGTTCATTTCCTAACAAAAGGAAATGAATCATTCATCAGTTTTCTGGAAGCCTTTGCTGATCCACTTCCAATTCTGAAAGTTTTGTCTGTCTTACTTCACCAGTTCCGAGGCCACAGGAGATCATGGGAGTTAGCAAACTGTATTGTAGGATTGTAACTGTTACTTAGGGCAACACCAAAAACAGGCATTTCTGTGCTGAGTGATTGAAAAAGCATTTATGGGGTAGCTTTCACATAATTTGCATTTCTTGCAGCTTTAGTGAAAGCATGAGAAAAGCTTCTAATTCCAGACATGAATTTTCTGAGAGCTGCCCAAGTACATCTCCAAGTCTCCTAAAAAACCATCATCCTACTGGTGTGAGATTTTAAATAAGCACACTCATAAAGATTTACTTTCTCTGTCAAGAGCCCAAGCTGATTAAAAACTAAATAAAAACAATGTCTTGAAACAACCTTTTCCACAGTCTCCTAACCTGGTACCCAAACATTCAGCCCAGTGGTCACTCTACACTCGCTATCACCAGTATCTTTCCTTTCTTCTCACATCCTTCAAAATTTTTAATGCCTTTCTTATGTGGTGTTGGTTGTCAGAAAAGCACCTTTGGCTTGCGAATGGTGTGCCAGGAGGTCTCCGCAGGACGACCGAACCGGTTGATAGACATTTTGCCCCGGTAAGGTAATTCAGCGGGCTCCGTACACTAAACAGGTTCGGGTGATAGTATAGGTGTCCCTACTCCTTACGTTCCCCGTTACTGACAGTCACCCCCACCAATGATTTAATGACACAAAGGCCCACTAACTGAGGGTCACACAAAGGACAGCATGATTGACAGGACATACAAACCACAAATAAAACCCTTCTAGCAGATCCAAAACGTAACTTTCAATCTATTAAGCGTTCTGCTACGACAAATGGTGTCCTTTCTTTGTTTTGGCCAGAGGTACGTGTTTTCCCGGACGTTTCTCAGTTTATCCATGCTGCGGAGGTCTCACACATGTCAAGCAGCTCCGGCAGTTTTAAGAAATTGATGTTTGATGAGGCTTTCATTACATGGCATTTGCTTCCCCCTGCTGTGAGGTTTCTCCTGTGCTAGGATGAAGAAAGCAGTCCATAAAAAGTAACAAAAACGAACAGAGATTTTATCTACGTTTATTCCATTTATTGCAGAACTTAAAAGATGGATGCAATGAGATTGTCCAGATCAGCAGGGCTCCTGAAGCGTCAATGAGATGCCACAGACGTGTCAATCTAGACAAAAAATTGTGTCACTGCAGATTTGAATTACAAGCTGTTGGCACTGAACGGAGTGATACTACCCTTGTGGGAGAAGTGTGATCATTTATATTACACTGCCTGGATCAGCACATTTTCTACCGTGGTTAAAAAGGAAGAGTTTTCATATCTTATCTGGGATTTTCCAAACTACTTGGTATTGGCCTAATTCAGTGACTTGAGTGCCAAGGTAAGAGCTCCCGCAAGGCTGATAGCAACTGAGTGGCCACATGGGTAACACCAGGGAAAGCTGGGATGGCCCAGTTTAACAGTGTCAGAAAATGTCAAATTTGGAAAAGGATGTATTGAAATGGGGACCAGTGGGGGAGAAAGTAATTAGGGGCTAGTTGTTTATTTGGAAGAAGACAAGGGTGGAGAAAGGGAGACATGGAGGTGAACGGGAGACGAAGAGGCATGGGGAAACAGAGAGAAAGGGGACAAGAGGAGCAGGTGGGGGTGCAAGCGACCAGCTGGTCTATGTGCTTGTCTGCTTGCACCCTATGCCCCATTGCTGTAGTCTGTGCTATCTCCTCATTAAACCTTGTTTTCTGTGAGAGTTTGTTGTCCCCTCTATGCGTGGGTTCATTGAGAGGTCTCAGTACCAGCAAATAGAGAGGGGCTGGGTGCCAGTGACTGGAAAGCCTGGGGGTGCCTGTGTTCCTGGTTGTGCCGGGAGGCCTCTGCAGGACGACCGAACCAGTTCATAGGCATTTTGCCCTGGTAAGGTAATTCAGCAGGCTCCGTACACTAAACAGGTTCGGGTGGTAGTATAGGTGTCCCTACTCTTTATGAATGAGTTCACAATTGCAGCAGTTAACAGGTAAATAACAAAGTTTAACAAACTAATGAATGGTAACGATAACAACTATAATAATATTGATAACAACAAACAATAGTCAAGGTGGTGGTGGGGTTAATCAGGCTGCATCCGGAGCGAGGAGCACCACTTCCAGGTCCAGGGACCTGTGCTCTCAGCAGGCCACCCTGCGCACAGGGGGCCACCGCCCAGCGGGAAGCTCTTAGCAGCCCACACCCCAAATGGGGGGGGCCAAGTTGTGCCACACTGCCATTGGTCACAGTCCATCCGGATCTGCTTCACCAGCACGTGGGGACCTGCCTGCCAACCAGCGCCTATAGGTCTGCTCCCCTTCCAAAATGTTCCCCTTGATTGACAGTCACCCCCACCAATGATTTAATAACATCAGGGTGGGACACAAGGGCCAACTAACACAAAGGACAGCATGATTGACAGGACATACAAACCACAAATAAAACCTTTCTAGCAGACCCAAAACATAACTTTCAATCTATTAAGGGTTCTACTATGACACTGGTCCACGCATGGATATTAGAAGGACTTAGAGCCTGGGCTGATACTCAAGGGATCTTCAAGCCTGGTGCCCTTGTGCACCCAATGGTGGGGTAGGGACCCCCCCCCAAGGCCTTTCCCCCCTTTCCTCACCCTGAAACTACCTCACTGTTTCAGGTCAGCGACCCTGTGAACGAGTGATGGGACGGGGAGATAGGGCGATTGCCCGCCCCCGACATACCTAAATATCCTGAACTGGGGCAAATCCTTATAGCAGGTATGCCAAAATACCCTTGTCCGCCCTGAAAAACCCAGACAGGGGCCTGCCGTGACTGTTCTTGCAACATTAACACAGAAAGTTTCAGCACTTCAACCTGCTCCCAGGTGCTGACAGAGCACCCTGCAGCACTTGCAGACAGCAAAGCATTGGCCACCCTTGGAGAATTCAGCTGCCTGGACTCAGTCCCTCTCCCTTCTGCTCTTGGGAGCTCCCCACAACCTCTCACACATTTTCTGTTCAGCTTTCGATGTGGCTATTCTGAGTCGTCCCCTCTAAAACCTTCTGCAGAATACGTTTGGCATCAGCAGCAGCAGTAGACAGAAAATCCCTCAACAGAAAGAAGGTGCTGAGGAAACTAATTCCTGCAGCCACTAGAGAGCCTATCACCTGCCAGACTGTGGGGATGCCTTTAAGCAGAAGCAGACGATACTGCACAGCACCCCCAATGCTTTGGGTCAACAGCTTAGCAACAAGCTCCTTGGATATTTCGTGGTGCAGGGGGGACTTTATGACAGCCTTCAGCTCTTCAACAGGCTTCCTCACCTGCTTTGCAAGTTTCTTGAGGTGTTCCTCAGCCAGTCCAAAGGTCTTACAGTACTCTTTCAGGGATGCCACCAGGATTGCAGTATCAACAGCGGTAGAGATACCTGGGATGGGAACAGTAGATGCTCCACATGACGCAAGGCTTTTCAGCCAGATATACTTCATCAGCTCCTTCTTTTTCTTTTCCAGGACCTCCATGGAAGTGATGGCCATGGGCCGTAGGAAGCTGAGTTTCTTCTGACTTGGCAGATCATCCAGAATGGTTTGCAATAGTCTGGGACCATCGTACACTGTGCTAAAATCATCCCTGCAGACAAGAAAGACTTGAGGGGAGCTTATGCCCAGATTTTTCAGGTTGCTTTCACACTCCCGCCTGATCCTATCCAGGACTGCCATCTCATTATACTGCTGTGACCGGATCTCAGTAGCTCTCTTCCCTTTTGCTTTCAGGACTCCCTCCTCATCGTAGAGTCTTCGCTCATTGCTTACATCTTGATCCACCTTGGAGCGCACAAAATAGAACTGCTTCCCCAGAGCCTGAATTTTCTCTGCAAGAAGCGCATCATTGCATGTGAAGCGGCTGGAGGAGACGATGATGAAGAAGTCATAGCGATCAAATTGCACCTGCTTAAGGTAGGTGTCTGGTCTGAACTCGGGTGATCCAATCCCAGGCAGGTCCCAGAAAGTCACGTGGGAGTCCTGGGAGTGAGGATAAGATCTGCATTTCATCGTTGTCTCTATCACTCCAATCTCAGAGGCGCCCTCCTCATAGTCCTCCAGGCCACACATGGCATTGATGAAGGATGATTTCCCAGAGCCTGATTCACCTGTTACAGCGATGTGGAGCAGGATCTTTTCCTCATTAGCCAAGATGTCTTGTGCTTTTGCAGCTGCTGATGTGAGATCTCCTTTCTCTACTGCAGCCCTTATCTCATTCATGTCTCGTTCCAAAATATGGGGAAGTGCCTCTGCCTCCAAGTCTGCATCAGCGCTGGCCATGGCAGCTGCAGTGAGTGGGTGCCCAGTCAGCCTGGAAGAAGAGGACAGGCGTTATCTTTCCATTCATAGCAGCAAGCAGAAAGAGGAATTCAGCTCCAAACATGAGCCTCAGGCAGAGCGTGAGCACCAAAGCAGCTTTTCCAGCATCCCCAGTGCCCTCTGCCAGCCACGGTGAAGCTCAGCCAAGCCTAGGATTCAGGCCACCCAAGGGATTACCCAAGAGGCATTCCCTTGGGAGAAGGTCTGCAGCACGGCTCCCCGTGGGGCCTGGGGCATCCCTGCACAGGAGAGCCAGTCCAGTGCTCCAGAGTGGAGCTTCATATGGATGGGAGAGGCTTTAGCTTCTCTGCTCAAAGCCTGCAGCTCCAAGATGCCTTGGAGAGAAGCTCAGCTTCCCCAGCACAGGCCTGGTTTCCCCTCAGGCAAATGCCTCCAGGACAGACACTCCAGCTGGGTCAGCCCCTTGTGGCTTTCAGCGAGTGCGCATGGAGGGGTGCAAGAGCCCACTGGCTGACTCAGGTCTGCTCCTCTCATGGTTCCCAAACATGTGTCCCCAAGCCCTGAGCAAGAGCATCACAGCCCCCTGCCCTGACCCCAGGGCTGCCCATCAGGGAGCAGCACCAGCTCTCGCCAACCCACCCTCGCTTTTGGTCACGAGCACGCATTCCCATCAGCAGGACCCGCCTGCCCTCGCACATTGCCCAGATGGTGCACGTGCCAAAGGCCTGTGTCTCCGGCCAGAAGATGGCCAGGCAGGAGGCATAGGGCTGGAAGAGGGCGTGGAAGACCCCCAGTGCATGAGAAGGGGAGCATGATATGCTGGGGTACAAGGAAGAACTCTGAGGCTGTGCATGCTGGGAGGCAGAAGGAGCCCTGGGGAGCCTGGGCAAAGGTGGTGTGAGGATGCAGAAGAGGGATCAGAGCTAGGAAGCGATGAGGAATCAGCAGAAGAGGTATTTTGGGGGCAGTCTCAGCTGAGGGACAATAGCTGAGTGGAAGGGGTTGCCTTGTCTCAGAGGGGATGGCTGGGAAATGGGCCCAAGCACTGGGCAGACGGGCAGGGGAGCCCAGAGTGGGGTGGGCCAGAGGATCCTGTCTCTTTCTGGCTTGTGCACAGTTGCTCTTTGACAGCTTTTCAGAGACCAGCACCAGCTGCCTCTCCCAGGCACTTAGAGCCACTAGCAGACTCCCCAGTGGCACCCTGCAGGAAGCAAAAGCACTTCCTGCCCTGGTAACTAGCCCATGTAGCAGTTGGCAGGAAGTAGGCTGAGTTAGGATAGTTTTTTGCAGACGCCTGTGAGTGTTAACCTTCTTTTTGCTGTGGGAGGTGAAACATGAAACCACCTGTCCTAAACAATAGCATAGTTTTGTGTGCTCCACAGGAGCACGTACCAAGCTGTGCAAACAACCTGATGATCATCAGGAAGTCCAAGAGTGTCCAGAAGGGCTCAGAACAAGCAGACTGGGAGCACCAGCAACGGCAACAGCAAATCAGAAAGCCACAGCGCAATCTGAACAGTCTAATCATCAGCGAGGTATTCCCTACCCAGTCCTGTAACGAAGGCTACCCACAAGTACTGGGGTGAGCGAGAGTGCCTGGAAAAGACCTCCCTTGACTGCATCCTCATCCTCACATGCTCAGACTCCTCCAGGGCAGCTGCAAGGCCAGCCCCAGCCCTAGCCCTTGTCCACACTGGACTTGCTTCCACCACTTGTGCACCTGGGGGCAGCTCTGACCACGAGGTGCCAGCTGGGGGCCTGCTGCCTTGTAGATGCTCTGCTGGAATCACACACATTCCCTGCACGGAGACCCATGTCCTCCAAGGAGACTGAAAGTCCCGTAGAAAGCAAGATCATAACAAGAAGAGGGTGGATGGGTGGGTGGGTGGGTGAGCGTGGGGGGCGCTAAACTCCCTTCTCCAATTTGCTGATCTGGACCATCAACTCACAGACAACCTCAGTCCCATGGAAAGTGGCATTCTGCTTTTCTTCCCCTGACAAACACAGTACAACCTCTCCCTCATCCCCCAAGGATGCTGCCCAGCCCCTTGCTCCCTCGCGCCTCGGCAGCAGTACCTGGCACCTGGGCAGGGGTGCCCAAAGGAGCTCTCACACCTCCGCACAGCAGCTGAGGAGGAAGGAAAGGCTCCTGGCTGGTCTGCACAGTCCTTGTGCTCCTGCTTTCCTTCCCTCCCAGCAATCTCTTGCTCTGTCGCATTTTAAATGTTCAGCCCAGGTTTGATGTGCAGCCAGGAAGGCTGGGTTTGCATTTAAGGAGGCTCCTGACAAACCACCAGCTGGAGTTTTCTCCACAAACCCAGGGGAAGTCAGCTCAGCTGGCAGGGAAAAAAAATCTCGCTGCTCACTAATGGGAGTTTCTAACAGCACAGCAGGAAAGGCAGGAGGAAGCCCGCGTGCATAGCCAGCTACCCCTCACTGCTCCTGCCACACAGACACCCCACAGCACTCCTGTCCGCAGTGGATATCATCTTGACTCTTGAGGAAGGTCCATAGCCCTCAGAGCCAGCAGAGTCCCAAACAGCCTCTTCTGAGGTCAGCCTCCAAAGAGCCTGACCCACAGGACTGCCCAGCCTTCCTTGCGTTGGCCCCTGCCCCAGGACATTGAATCCCAGAAAAGTCCAGGTTGGAAGGGACCTCTGGAGATTGCCTGGTCTGACTTTCTCTTGGAAGCATGGCTTAGGTTATCCAGAGCCCTGTCAAGGCAAGTCTTGAACATTGCCTGGGACAGGGAGCCCACTCTTCTCTGGGCATCCCATTCAAATGTGGAAGCAAAAAAGAATCCGGAGTAGCAAGATTGACTTCATTTTACCACTCATTGCCACCTTAAGACAGAGCAACAAATGAAGTCTTGAAACTTGCATGAGGTCTGGTACATTGTAAAACACAGGAAGTCAAACTGGATGAAGCCAGTTAGAAGTTGCAGAGGTTACTAGTGGAAAACGCCCTGTGCTGTTAGCTCCCTATTGTACATTTAGCCAATCAGGTAGTGCCTATACCACCCTAAGAATTGTATATAATTGTTGGCTTATTCTAAGCAGGGAAGCCTCTGTCTGACCTGTATTTTGCGCATGCCTGCAGCTGTCGGCATGTGTGAATAAAGGCTCTCTGAACGACGTTCCTGCTAGTAGAGTTTTCTACGATGCTGACGTTCAATTGTTCTTATGGCGGAGAAAGTGGTGAGCGATTAGGGTGGGTTACTCCCTGCTGCAGATGATAGAGGCACCCATCTACAGACCTGACCGGTCATCTAGAGAGGATTACTGCTTGCCAGCGTTAGAAAAGGCAATTGTTGTAACTAATTTAGCTCCAGCACTAGTGCCTAAAGTAGATGAAGCCTGCAGGCAGCAGGACTGAACTGTAAATGAACTTGAAAGACATTGCTGACCATGGAACTGCAAAACCAGTTAGAACCAGCCCTCAAGGATACAGAGCAGAATGAACAGAGGTAATGGTTAACCTTCAGATAAGATAAGGCACTGTAAAGCAGGAACAAAACAACTGTCCTGGGATGTAGACGTGAACCAGTCAAAAGGAAAGAGACCACTGACTCAGGAGGAGGACTGGAGAGACTTTCACTGGCAGGTGAGGAAATAAGACTGTAACAGTATAATTACTCAAGAATTCTTATGTTCTGTGTCCCTCCCCAGAGGCACCCAGCTTGAGCTGTTATTCTGTCACTGTACCACTAATAAATTCACTTAATGCAAGACTGTGTGTGACTCTGCTCAACAGAAACCTAGGGTCAGGCCATTTCTGTAACACCAGAGCCTTGGATCCAAAATGATGTGGAGAGACCGCCAAAGCTTGTCCACCTCTCTGACTGTTACCCCTGCTGCTCTTACATGTGGGCACCAATGATACTGCCAGGGCAACTTGGAAAGTATCAAAGCTAGTAGGAGCCCCATGTTCACAGGCCCTGATATCTGCTAGAGGGACAGCACAGCAGGGCCCAAGCAGACCAGAAGGGTCCTGGAGAACAGCTAATGAACAGGTTCTCTCCTCCATCCTGCCAGTGAGGGGGAAGGACACAAGGAGGAGTGCAAGGATGCCACGAATCAACAACTGGCTGCACAGCTGGTGGTGGCAACAGGGTGGCACCAGGGTTGCCCTGTCTGAAGATTGACATCTGCTTGGGAGAGACAGGATCCACTTCACTAAGCAGAGCACACGGATCTTTGCCAGCAGATTGGCCAACCAAGTAAGGACGGCTTTAAACTAGGAAAAACCGGGAATATTCTGGGAGAGCTGGTGCTACAGAGCTTTGGCAGGTTTGAAGATAGTCTTTTGTCTTTTCTCTTGGCTGATAACAGGCCTGACTTAGTTAAAAGCAGCAGAGCCGGAGAAAAGACTTTATGTGGGCCCTCTGAAACACCAGCTGCTCTGTAACCCCAACTTTACATCCATAAATAACCCAAAGTCACTTATGCAATTTCAATGCAGAGCCTTCTCTGTGATGGCTTTGGGCCTTGATTTTGCTTTTATGGCCAGAGCTGGTACTCATGCCACAGCTACTAGGTACAGTTTTACTTCTCAGTAGTACCTGGAGAAACTTACCTGATATTATTGGAGAAGGGGATGGCAAGGAGTACACACATCTGTCTCCATCCCCTGTCTCCGAACACATATTTCAGTGTCAAAAAACACTCGCTGGAGCACACATCTCCTCTTTCCCCCTTGCCTCAGCACATGGCTCTGGAAGGGGCTGTGGCATTAACTGCCACCACCGCCATCCCGCTGGCTTCCCTCCCTTAACGCCTTGATTTTTTTCCGCTCCTTTGGCCGTACGTCTTTCCACGCAACCTGAACGTGGAGCAGGTGTCCTGGGGAACTTCCCAGCACGTCCGCTGAAGAGCGTAGCAAAACACCAAGCTGCAGCACTTACATTTTGGGCAAGACGCACTACGGAACTGCCAACGAGTTTGTGGACGTGGGAGCAAGGCAGAGCCTTACAAAGGCTTCCTGATGGACAAGCTAGCTGTTCTCGGATTTAGTTTATACACACACACTGCACGCGTACACACGCCCTATATTTTCTAATGTCCCCGCTGGGAGGAAGAAATGAGAAGCATTGCAGAGCCAATAGCAGCAGCATCGCTCCCCAGAGTCATTGAACTAGCAGCCAGTTGAGGGCCAGTAGCTGTGACAGTCTGGACATGACTGACAGCTATGGGGAAGGGAGGAGTTGCTGCTTGCTTTGCTTTGCAGGACACCAAACTAACCGCGGACCGGAGATGGCGTTTACCCAGGGGTCGTCAGGCAACCTGCGTCTTTCTCAATCACCTCAGGTAAATCCAGCTGTCCGAGCTGGATTTTTCCTACACAAAAGGTAGAGACACCGGCCTTTCTCGGGGCACATCCCCATCAGTTCAGAAGCGCTAATTTCGTGAAGGCTGACACTGAAAATTGGGATAGTGCTAAAAATATCCCACCTGAGGGCAGCACAGCACCACCAAATAGTCAGGGCTGCTCAGAACTGGAATTGCTTCTTGGGGAAATATGTCACCTCTCTCCCAAACGCCCCTTTTGCTGAGTAACACCTTCAGCGCTGTGTCAAATCAAAAGCATACCAGCCTCCACGGACTGTCATCACACCCATTTGTGGATAAGTCGCTTTATGTCCACCTCACAGAAAGACCACCACTGCACAAGCGAGCTGCAAAGCACCCTCATCCCCCGGGTGTTAGCATTGCTCCATTCCCGTGCCCATGTTCACCAAACAGACGTGCTCTCTAATATGCGCTTAATGGGACAAACAGAGCTAGGTCCTAGCAAACCCTTTTAGCTTTTGTCAGGCTTCAGCTCTCGTAATCTTCAGCTTCTTCCCCCCGCCCCCAGGTAAATTCAGCAGACTGATTTTGCAGGCCTCCCTAGTTTTGCCTTCTAAAACAGTCTGAAAGTTTCATGAACAGGTAACTGATAGTATAGCCAAAAGCAACAAGCCCTACATCTTTTTTCTTTCAAGCCGCTTGTCTTCCTTACACTGCTGCTGAAGCAAGCATGTACATATGCATTTTAGGGCACTTCCTAACACTTTACCACCTCCAGGTCCTACGGTAAACTGCATGAACTTAGATGACTCGAAAGATATCCCTCTAGTTTTGAGCCAAGCGCTGATTTATCCAGTATTTTTGAAGTCAGAGAAACTGTGTGAGGGTTTAAATCTCAAGATGAAAGTGGTCCCAGCCGGGCAGAAAATACCAGTGCATCCCTAAAACTGTCCAAGCAGTGCTAGGTGCCCAGTAATCAATCCTTGGACATGCCCACTAGGAGTTACAAAAGGTGTTGCTGGAAAGAGCACACACTAAATGAGAAGAGCCCTCTGATCAAGGGGACCAGCTTGCAACAAATGCAACGTTTTGCCCGCAATACGCGATAACTTTACAATTTTTTCTTGCTCTTTAATTCTAGAGCAGAGGCAACAAACAACAGCCACCTTTAGAAAAACAAAAAACAAAAACAAACAATAGCTAGAGACAGGAGGAGATGTCCCAGAGGAACTGGCAGGGGTTTTCAGGCTCCCAGCAGCCTGCATCATTCACAGCGAGCGCCCCCAGAGCAGGCAAACTGGACCCTAGTTACTCTCCACAAGTCAGTCACTTGCACTGAAGCAAGTGGCAGCACTTTAATACTGCTTCCCACAATCATCTGACATGCCAGCAATAGTTTATTCTTCTAAATGCCTTTTCTGTATAGCGAGAGTTGAACTAATGCTCTGCACACACCTGCGTTCATATCATTTAAGCAAGCAGCAAGCCAGAAAGCTAAATGGCTCCGTAACTCTTTTAACTATTGTTTTTTTATTGTTGACATTATTCCCAGTGCTATCTGTCATATAAATTTAAAAAGTGGCAGCAAAATACTAAAAATGAAAAAGCTGCAGAAATACGCTGGTGGCAAATGACTAACTGAAGCAGTTTGACTGAAGGCTTCAAACAAGTTTTGTCCTTTGTGGCAAGCAGATCGAAGGCTATATATATGTTTCTGGGTGACATCTGGCAATGCAAGAGCTTAAAGAAAGAAAAAAATAAAATGAAAATGGAAACTACAAGGAATGTGTCCCAGAAAAAAGGTGCATGAAAATAGAGCAGGACTTACTATCTATCTTACCATGCTATTTTTTCAACGACTTCTTTTAAATGCTTTGCAGGCATCTGGCACTG